AGCTTAGATTTGTTCAATCTATTTTTTGTCCATAAGACCAATTTGTTGTGGGTATCGAATTTAGGAGTTAACAGTTCAATATAGACATAAGGGTAAAATCATAATTATACACATAAATATTATCACATAAAGGTTTTGTCACATCACATGAAATTTTTGTATTTTGAGAGTAGTGATGTGTTGTTAGATACCGATCACTATTTATTATAATAAATGTTTGGTTTGATATAACTGACAACATCACGAGAATCTACAAGGTTGAAATCATAATGACATATTAGTGAGAGAAAATAAATAAGAGAGGCTTATTTGATTCTATGGTCTTGTAATTCACTATAATTAATTAGAGAAACACAATACACGCAAGATACAACATACAACGTACTTAAGTGCAAAGCATACCAATTCTTCAATTAATGACTCCATCATTCTTAAGAACTTATTGTTACGTGTTCATCCTCCAAAGACTCAATTAACAAAGAAGGTTATGTGGTGCCCTTCCAATTATCGTCTAGGTGAAGGTTAATATTAATAGTGGATCTATTGGCACACCAAACATGACCGCATGTGGGGGTATCTTTCTGATCATAAAGGAGAGCATTTAGGTTATTTTACCTATTTACCTTTGCTAGAAAAATTCCCTTTTTGCTGAGATTTTGAGCACCATCTTGATTGTAAAGCATGCCATAACCTATCATTGGCCTAAACTTTGCTTAGAGACAAATTCTAAACATGAATAAATGAAACAGTTATATGTGAGTGTTATAATCCACGCTTTCTCGACCACTCGCATATAAACAGAAGAGAAACATTGTGCGGATAAACTAGCTAATTTATACTAATATCGACTAATATCATGTGGCGGGTTGATATATATACCAATAAAATTATAGATTTCAATAAAACCAAGTCAAGATTTCTTAGCTTTAAAATTTGCTAACGTTGAGGTTATGGTTTCACCCCCTCAGTTTTTGCACCTATATTTTGATTCATATCTTGTTCAAAATAATCCGCAAATATCTAACATGACATAAATTAATTGAATATAATTTAAATATAAAAAAACATTACACAATTAAATATTAACATAATTATATTAAAATAAAAAACCTAAACATAATATAAAAGATAAAATTTAGTAAACTGTAACAATTTAATAATATAAATTTTTAAATAAAATAACATAAATATTAATATAATTTTTAGAGTTTTTAATAATATAGATGAAACGTGCTATTCAAAGCCATACAAACTTGTCCTAATAGGAAGGAAGATTTTTAGATTCGAATAAGAAAACTCTTGCAAAAATTCAAGGAGTAATGATATCATTGTCCTTAAATTCTACACTTATACTTACCTCCAATATTATTCATCGTATTTATATAGTAAATAGTATTTTTTTAAATAAAAAATATATTTATTAACGATAATATATTATTATAATAATATTTAAAAAAACAATAAGTTTTATTTATTTTTTTAGTATAAAACAAAATTGATTAATAAAATATAAAAAATTTGTTAATAAAACGATGAAGTTAGTTAATAAATGCTAACATATTAAAAATATTTAGTAATAAAAATTATCTGAATGTTTATTAACCAACTTTATAACTTCATTAACCGACATTTTACATTTCATTAACTAATTTTATTTTACTAATAAAAATTATTTATGATATTTGAATATTTATTAACCAACTTCAATACTTTATTAAATAATTTTTTATTTTATATTAACCAATTTTATTTTACTACTAAATTATTTTAAATATCTAAGCGTTTATTAACAAACTTCATCACTTCATTAATCAATTTTTTATATTTCATTAACCAATTTTATTTTACTATTAAAAAATATAATCTTTTTTAAATATATATTATATAATAATATATTACTGCTCATAAATATGTTTTTTATTAAAAAAATAATATTAACCGTATAAATACAATAAATAATATTTAAGTGTAAATATTATTATAAAATTTAAGTATAAGAATAACATTACTCAATTTCAAATTCAAACTCTAATTTTAACAACCAAATTCTATAATTTTATAAGACTTTTGAGGTTGATAAGATAATGGAATAGTCCATCCTAACAACTTTAGAATGAAGTCGTTTTGATTAAGAAAAAACCGAGGAATTAGTTTTTCCACTAACTATTTTTTTAAAATAAACCTTTTAAATAATTATTCATTCACCAAAAATATTAAATTAGTTATTTTTTAAATAAAAAAATTTCGTCACATAAAGGTATAATTACTCTGTGTGACACATACATGTAATATAAAGAAGAGGTGTCACACTACACGCGCATGATTTTCTGACATGTCATATAGTGTGGTGCATGCATGTTCTGGTAAAGAGGTCATACTATCTAATCTGACTATTCAATTATTTTGAAATTTCTATAAATATAATCATCCATCTCCATCATTTTTCACACATATTCTCATTTCACTCTTAAATATATCTCGGAGCATCCTCCAATGTTTTCGTTGATCAAAGAGATGTTCAATTAATTTTTTTTATCAACAAAGTCTTCAATGAAAATCAAACTTCAGAATACACAAATTTTCTAACATTTTCAAATATATTGACGAAAAAATTTCTGACGGTGAATAAATCAAAAGAACTGATAAACAAATTATGATATCTAACCAAAATGAAATAATTTGTTTCTAGAAATCTGTTAAAACAATTTCTGAAATTTATTTGAAAAATATGATTATTTAAAAAAAAGTTCAAAACCGAGTATCTCTTGCGGTAGGTATATATGAACTGAGCTTGTATAATAAAACAACATTTGCGGTCAAATTGGTATTTGAATTGAAAACGCCAAATAGAAAAACATAATTATTTCAATTCCCGTAATACGCGAAAATACTGTTGGCTTTTATATGATTGGTTCAAATTCTGCTGATTGTATTTTTTATCACATTAGACCATTTATAATGGTTGAAAAACTCAACACCCACTTTTTCAACTCCCAACACTCCACATCATTTTCTCTTTCTTCTACCTAATAACTCAACACCCATTCAACTTTTACCCTCTTCAATGGTTTTTCACTCAACACCCTACCCCACCACTTTTTATTTTCATATTCTTATTTAAATTTTATTTTTATTTTTATGATTACATAAAATTACAATTATCGATTAAAATTAAATTAAAATAATAAATACTTAATAATTTATTTTTTAATTTTTTGTAATAAAAACAAAATTTATTTAAATAATTGGATACGATACAAATCATCTTAAATTAATTTAAAATACAACACACAATTAACGTAATTAGTACGTTACAAATAATTTAAAATGCAATACAACACACAAGTAACGTAATTAGTAATATAACCATTAAACGGGGGTGTTTGAGATGGATTTCTCGGCATAGATCCATAATATGTTTGAAAGTTTGGAACATAGGATGTCTGGTTGAAATTTGGTGGAAAACCAAAATTAGGTATGTTTTGAGGATGTTGGTTGGAAAATTGATTTGGATTTTGATAATAGTTGAGATTTGGAAAATTGTTGGGATTTTGGTTAAATGGAAAATTAACAGAATTTTGAGTGTTAAAATGATTATTGGGATCCATTTCACTAAAAAAAGACACTTAACTTTAAAATAAACACTAATAATAAAATTAAGATAGTGAAAAACTTAGTTTTTTTTCTGTGTCCAAATCAAATGAACCAAGTCTCTATTTATAGAGAAAAAAAAATCATGAATTTTGGTAAAAAAAAAAAAATTAATTTGCAACGAAATAATTGAGTTCAAAGTATTAAATGGATAAAAATCTGATCAGCCAACCAGCCGCTGCCACGTCAGCCCATGCGTCAGTGTACATGGTGTTGAGTTTTCTCAACATCTCTCTCCAACACACACTCAACACTACTCTAAGCACACCATTGCACATGATTTTGCCATGTTGAGTTCAATTAAACACACCATTGCACATGATCTTAGACTTCTAATTCTTTTCTTGGTATAAAAATTATATTATTAGGTAATATTTTTAAGGGTCATGTTTGAATAATAATTAGTAAAATTTAAATATAATTAAATAAAATAATTATATTTAAAATTTCAAAATATTAAATATATTTCTTCCAAATTTTTTTTTTACAAATAATTTATTAATTTTTGTTCTTAAGATAAACGTTGTTTTCCTATTCACAGCCACACATATATCAAATGAGTAATTAGACAAACAAATTTATAATAACAATAATAAAATGTTTTCAGTTCTCCTGTCACATATAGGCCAGTTGAAATTGATTATATATTTTCCTTCTAGTTGTTATTGTTAGTTCAATTTTTAACTTTTTTTCTATTTTCTATAATTATTTGACCTATTTGATTATTTTGTCTCATTCTAAAGTTTCCTTCACATCTTGACACATACTTAACCTATAACAAAATGGACTAAGAAACAAAATTCACATATATTATTTATGAGAAAAAAGAATATAAATCATGTTTCCTTCATTAAAAGCTGTGGTTCTGAAAGTTGAAATAAATGATTTCTTTAGATATGTGCAATGATTTATATATTCAGCATATTCTTTTTATTTTTTATATTCTATATTATTATTTTTTTCACTTAATAATTCAATATTTATTTAACTTTTACTTAATACCATAATTTTATTTAATAAAATTCAACACCTTACTTCACTATTTTTATTTCATATTCTTATTTTTCTTATATTTTTATTTTTATGATTATAAATTAATATCAATTATTTATTGAAATTAAATTAAAATTTAAGAGTTAAATAATTTATTTTATTTTTTAAATTTAATAATTTATTTAAATTATTTTTTTAATTTTATATTCTTAATTAATTTCTTCCTTGCAAGTAATAAAGATAAGATAAAATTTCAAAAAACTAAAAATGCAATACAATACACTAAACACAACACACTTAAAATGAAACACACATAATTTAATTAGTACAATAGACTCAACTAACAAACAATCTATTTAATCATGAAACATTATGAACTTTGTCCATTTGTATTTAACTAGATCTGCTTGCAATTCGTGATGTACATTTGAATCACGCATCACATATCTAGCACGCACATGATTCACAAATGCAGGTAGCACCTCATCAATCATATTTTGAAATATGATACATGACCTCATGATGAGAGCTAAATCGACTATGTCCCAGAAACGGGCTAGTTCACGAATGATTTTAAATCCAACCTGCAACACCCCAAATGCACGTTCGATGTCCTTCTGACATCCCTCCTGATATTTTACAAATAACTTATCTGGTTCACTTTGAGGAAGTCTAATTGATTTGACGAAAGTCGGATAAGAAGAGTAGATACTGTCAGCAAGATGCTTCTTTGAACTTGGCTTCATAAACATCTTCATCTTTTTAGACTCAGTACTTTCTTTCAACAATTGGTTAGCTTCCTCTTGCCTCATGATTATTTTGTCCAATCGTTCTAATTCCTTCTCCTTAAATTGTTTGAATTCATTTCACTCTTCATTGACCGATTCCAAGACTACGCTCTTGTTTTTTTTTACCCTTTTTTTAGCTGCATCCCTCCCCATTGGGAGAGCACTTGATTCTACCGAGTTAGAATCACTTGCATGACTCTCGTGGCCTCTCTTAGATCCACTACTTTCAGATCCAGTATTTCCTCCTACCTGACTACCATAACGTGGTTGATCACGGACAACGAGCCATTCTGACATTAAAAAGAAATGTCCACTCTTACCACTTGAATATAATTCATGCGCTTTTGTCAATACATCATTCTCCGATCACCCACTTTGTTGTATACGCTTAGCATTATCATAAACGCCTCTATTTATTAAATATTTTATTCATGTAGTTGTAATGATTTTTACATGCAACTCCATCACGGGAAGGATCAAATGAGCAATGCTTATTACACTAATCAACAATTTTTCCTCAATATGAATCATTTTTTTAATTTCTCCCAATAATATTGTCTGTTCCATATTTAATCTACCCACTAATTAAAATCAAATTTTGATCACTGATCTATTTAAAACTTTTTCGATATATAGGAGTTGAATACTTTACATTTGAAGTGGTTCATTGACCACTCCTCATGACACCAAGAGCCATTCGTGACTCCTTATAATGGATGCAAACCTTTTCATTTAGATAAAATTATAAAAATCTTAAATATAATAAAGTCATAACCTTAATATATTGATCATCTGGTTAACACTTAATATGCTCCTAAGTCTAAGAAACGATGTTGTAGGTTGTAGCAAACAAGAAATTAAACAATTATATTCTGTGTTAATTTATGAATTGGTTATTGAAAAATAATTGATAACTATTAATAGACATGCAGTACAGTACGTTGTGTCGTGTTATGGTTGTTTTTAGGCATAAATACAATAAGTATAGAGTGTCGACTTTGCATGTGTATGGTATGGTGTGAAACTGTGAATTTGATGTATGTATCAATCTGCAGAAAATATATATAGTATAAGTTAATAAAGCTACCATGTCGATCGAAAATCTACTATTTTTGACCATTGATTATTGAGGTGATCTACAAGCTAGATACAATAAAACAAAGGAACAAACTGTCATAGGCAAACGAGTGTCTTCAGGATACTTTTTAAAAATATTAAATAAAAAAATATTCTTTATTAAATATAATTATTTCAATTTCTAATATATTAATTATACATATTTTTAATTTTTTTTACTATTTTAAGCATTTAACTAATATTTCTAAGAGCATTCTTAATATCTTCCTAAAATAAATTATACTTACTTATAGTTAAAGCTGGTAAAATGGATCAGATTTACCGGACAAAGCTTGAAAAAATAAAGGATTTGGACAAGAAAATTAGAATTTGTTTATCATCTGAATTTTTTTAACCCGATCCATTGAAATCCGAACTCTAACCGGATTAGCCCGACTGCATTGAGGATAACCTGTTTATTTTATAAGTAAAAAATAAAAAAAATTTAAAAACATATATGTCTTTTAAATTTTTTTTACAAAAATAATGCAAATAATAAATTAATAAACTCTAGAAGACATTATACTTTAAAGGGTTAAAGCACAGTCCGTCCACTATCCACTCCAATATTCATTCATTCTACCACATAATTTGTTGAAGTTGATAAGTTTGCAACAAAAGTATAATTATTTATTATATAAATTTGATACAACTATATAATTTGCAAGCATTTTGAATGAACATACTGTAGTTTTGAATTTTGCAGATTTTGAATTAGTGATATAATTTTGCAAGCATTTTGAAAGAACATACAAATTAGTGATATTGTACTTTTGAACTATGCAGAATTTTACAACCATATTATTTATCATAAGTTAGATACTAGCTTGAGTGTGTAATTATTTATTATAAGTTAGATACTAGATTCAATACACACACTTATAGTCATTGTGTTTCATAAGATGAGTTGACAAGGACTCTGTATTTAACATCTGATGATAATCTGGAAACTTCTTGTTATTTCTTACTTTTACAATTGATGAGAGAAGTATCCAGATAGAAATATAAACTAGTTGTTGATATTTTGGTTTTATGGTAGGCTCTTCAATCAAAATCAGTGAAACTAGTCAAAAGGAGGTTGGAATCTTGTTTGAATGAGTCTAAAATCTGGAGCAACTTTGATATATCTCTGAATGTGTATATTTGATACTAGTGAGATTCAATAGAGTTTGATAGATATTGGCTTTTAATCTACAAACAAAAAAATTAATGTCTGAGTGAGTTAAATAAAGCAGCTTACTAATTAAACTTACATATTTTGTTGGATAATTGAGAATCTTTCTAGGTTTAACTCTAAGGTGTGACTAGGGTTCATTGAAGTTGAGGTTGGTTTGGCTACTAAAAGGCCATAGTTTTGAAGGAGATCCAAATTATATATTTTTTTTACATAAATATATTCTTTGGAATGACCTGGCAATCTCAAAACCCATAATTTACTTGAGGGTGCACAAATCTTTGTTGTTAAATGTTTTTGTTGTAAATTACGACAAGGTTCAATATTAACTTGTGAGGTAAAGAAAAGTAACAACTAAAATAAATGGCTTACAATAATAATAATAATAATAATAATAATAATAATAATAATAATAATAATAATAATAATAATAATAATCAGCACATAAATGATATAATAAAATAAGGCGAGAAAAAGATGAATGTTTGCTTACCAGTTCGATCAAACAATCTACTATGGGGGAGATAGTCACTCTTTAATTCACTATACTCAGAAATTTGTTACAAGAGATTACAAATGAGTTACAAGAAAATAGTCTTCGCCTTCAAATTCCTAAGAACAACTCTGAAGTCTCCCAAGAACTATCCTATTTTCTACCAAAGTGTTTTCCAACCTTTCTAACTCTCAATATATGAATAACTAAAATCTAAGGTGTAACCGGTGTTTTACAATGACTTTAAAAAACTCCAAAGCTCACTAAAACTTTGCCCTTCTTAGGTTTTTCTTCACTTGACCTTGAACCCTTGCTCTCCCTTGTTTCTATAAACTCTAAGATTGTCTCACCTGCAAGCATATGAGAAATACATGTTTATAATAGAAAATATCCAACAAAAAAGCCCAAAAATCACAACCTAAATGCTCATGAATTCATGGACCGAATCGAAAGAGTCTGAATCACGCAAAATGAGAAACTGCCCAAAAAGTTTGAAAAACCCAAAATTGTCGACCAACACTACTATTCATTGCACGAACATCATTATTTATCGTTGGACAACACTATTCACCGTACGACTAACACTACTCACTGTCTGATTTTTCCTGATTTATGTTTTTTTTACTTTTCGTCCGACTTTTTGAAACTTCTGATTTTTGTGGTATATGCAATCTCTAAAATATATTTTCTTTCTCTTCAACAACAAAGGTTTTGTGGCACACTACAATAATCTCCACCTTGCCTTGAAACCGTGTTGATGACAATTTAACCATCAACAACATTGCTGCTCTCTACCATGTTGAAACTCTAATCAATAACCTTGATGAAATTCAAGTCGCCCTTGAATCTTGATCTCGCCACTTGCATCCACTTGTTTACAATTATCCATTTCTTCCTAGGTAATTTGACAAGCCCATAAGTATGATTTTTCAACCAACCTTGACTCCACCTGTTTTCAAATGCCTCCCTGAAGGTTCTTCTTTTAGGATTTTGCAATCCTCCAACCACATTCAAAACATAACATCCAAGGCTAGAATAATCGTTCCTTTGAGATATTACAATGACCCTCCTTACCTTGTCATGATTCAAATGATAATTAGATATCTCTGTAACTGTTCACTCACTACTACTAGTATCCATGGTAGGAAACTCCATCTCAAACTGAGTTTACTCTATTATAGTTTTTGACAAGTTTCTCCTTTGGTTTTCACTATTCTCCCTTTGAAGAAATTATATACCAACCAAGTAAGTTTTTTTAACCTCAACTCTTCCCTAAAACATCAATAATAACTCACTACAAGAAAAATGATAGATTGGGACGGTTATTTTGGCTGATTACGACGGTTAAAACCGTCGCAATTTACAATCTACGACGGTAGAAGTACCGTCGCAGAATCGTGCGTCCCCAGCCTATTTCGCGACGGTTGCAAAAACTGTCACGCACAACAGATAGCGACGGTTATATACCGTCGTGAATTTGACTTTATTTTTTGTTTTTGTTGTTGTTTGCGACGGTTATTCTACCGCCGTAGGTTAGAAATTGCGGCGGTTTTAACCGTCGTAATCTGATTTATAAATTTCAAATAATATTTTTATTTAAATTATTATTTAGTAAAATAATTTTAAATATAATATTATTTTATTATTATATTTAAATTATTATTTACTTTAATATTTTTTTATTTATAGTATTTTTATTTTATTTTCTATCACTTTTCAACATAATAAAGTTAATTACAATAAAAACATTTAATATCAAATAATCATCAATAATATAAAAAAAATGTGATCAAAGGTAAAAAGAAGTGCAAATTTTACCAATAAACAAGAAAAATTCAAATATCATCAAAGGCCAAATTTCATTTTAATATTTACATTGGTTTGCTACAACTTGAGAGAATTACAAAAAATGTTACAATATTCTACAAAATTCATGAAAGTCCTTAGTGTTAAGTGATTTTGTGTTAAACTTCCATGCTAGGACCATGATCCTTCCTTGACTACCATTTGGAAGCAATAACTTCACTCCTAGACAGTGTGTTTGATGAATGGTTGTTAGGTAACTCATTTATTTTAGAACCACAAACAGGCCCTGAATTTCCTCGGCTTCCTGTTGTCTGCGAAAGCACATAACATCATATATAGAAGCAAAATCATGGCTTCCTCAATTCACATAACCAGATTTTAACAGCTTTACCTTTACCAACAAAGCATCCATCTTCCTTTTATCAATCCTGAGTGGACTTTTCATCTCCATCAACATCTTCTGACCCAATGCTTTAATTGATGATTCCCCTTTTTCACTTCTATGCTTTCCAACCCCACAAACCACAATAATTTCAGCAATAATCTCAAAGTTGGAAGCATTCAACAGTAGATTCCAGCTTATTTGACAGATTTTGTAATTTTGTACTTCTAACTTTGTTTTTCTATTCTAGGTTTAGCGCTTGCTATTCCCTAGAGCCTTCAACTGCGTGAATTGCCCCTAACTTTTTGTGATGAATTAGAAGCTCAGCACAAAGAATAGCTTAAATAGTTTAGAGCCTCATGTCATGTCAGTCATATATATTCATGACCAGAAAATGCACCGGGACCCATTTAGAAGGCATCATTTAGCTGTAAATAACAAAGCATTATTTAGGTTCAAACAAAATTGAGTCATCTGTTTTCTCCGAAAAGAGAACAAGCAATTTATGAACCACAAAACTAGTTTACAAGTTACAAGGTATGCACGAATACTAGAAACACCTTCAAACACTACCCCTCAGCACTTTGCTTACCCATAAAACTCCACTATTTGTCACTGCATCAGAACCGCAATGAAGTTGAAACTAAGTTCTAAAATCGACACTGACTACTCACATGGTACAAATACTGTATAGCCTGTAAATCTACTTTGAGCTTCCAACTCACAAGAAATAATAGACTTTGGGGGAGGGAATGGTAACCGGGTCAGGAGTGCTTACAAAATTGAAAAGATTTACACTGCTCTGACTGGTTGAAAAAAATAAAAGCAAATTGATGCACCTGCAAATGGAAGCATTTAAAAAGCATTAACGAATTGGACACATTAGAATAGAATAGAACATGTTACAAAACCTTCAAGTGAAACAACACACTAGAACAAAGCAGAGCAAGAGAAAGAAAAATCAATATTTATCCCATACATAGAACGATCATTGTAGCACCGACACTTGTGAGCAAATGTGTGTCTGGGTCCGACACTCACGCATGTGATTACGTTCAATTTATTTATGTTTTTTAATTATCACTAGTGTCAACATGTCAGTATCGATATCATGTCAGGTATCCGTATTTGTGCTTCATAGAGAACGACAACCAGCTTTATCAGATTTAATTCCATTTCTCAATTGCATATCTTAGAATTTAGGTTTGGTGTAACTCAATCTTACAAAACCAGCTTAAGATGAAAATTACCCCACTTATAAACATAACCTATTAAAATAATATCTAGAAAGGAACTTCTAGGAGAGACAAAGTTGTTGAAGTAAACCACTGAAGCATACCGTTTTGGAAGCTGGAAGCAGAAGGAGCAACTTATAAGGTGCTCTAAAAGGAGGAACTGATTGATTTAACTATCACCAAAAGAAATAATCTGCCCAAGTGCAACTCGTGCTCGAAGCTGCATCAACAAAAGAAAATTTACAAATTGACCAAGAGAAAGTATTAAAAAGACAACAACTTGATATAAAGATTAAAGGACCTTAACATCCATGCAAGGGTCACTGGCCATCCTCTTGATTTGAGCAACAAGGCCAAAATTGCGCAGTTTTGCAATCCGGCCAAATGCACCGGGGCTTGCAGGAGCAGTGAGATTTACTATGATCCAGGCATACCAAAAACAGCTTTAAATCCTTGATTTCTACCATGAGATGTATAACACTGACATTTTCTTTGTTTAAGTTGTTGCAATGTCTAGAACAATATGGAATATAATGACATCGTATAATGAATAATAATTTGAGTATATGACAGGTGTCTGTATTATGACTAACAACAGATATAGTACCTTAAGTATTCATCTTGAAGGCAAGTGATTTTCATTTTGACAAAACTAAGTATTAAGAACCACATTAGAAAGATGCAAACTTGGGGATCAAATTATACAACAATAATTCCTCAGAGGAATTGGCAATACAAAAAGGTGCTATAATTTAAATTTCATCCGTATCTGTAAAATACTTGGGTTATATACTACCTGAGTGGTTTCAGAAATTTGTCAACAATATAACACATGTTTTCAACTTTTTATGATCAGCATCTAGCTATGAGAGCAAATAAATCCAACCAACTAATAAAATTTAACATTCTTCAAAAAATTTCACATACCTTTCTTCCATCGGATCCTGTAAACCAATGACCAGTAGATTGACCAGCAGATTGACCACTTGCTTGGACGCGTCTTCTACCTGCATCTTTCGGCATAGTGCCGCTCTTGGGTTCCACCCAATTTCCAGAAACATTTGAAGAGTTTAATATGGATTGTTCACTTTTTCTTTTTGACACACTGCTCTTAGTGCTGCTTCTCTTCGTTGCTTTCTTTCTACTAGATGTTCCACTGCCGAGAGGAGAAACGATTTTGGGATCCACCCAACCTTCAGAAGCATTAAAGGTTTCTTGAACATTCAAATCAACTGATTTGCTTCTTCTGCTTGTTGAGCCATTAACACGTCCTCTAGGAACTCCTGGCGTTTTAGAAGCTCCTCCATTATCAAATTGTCCCCTAAAATCAAAACAGAAAAATATAAGTTGATTAGAGATCCTACCTGTTATCAAAAGATAAAACTGGTCAAGGAAAGAATATATTACTAGATTACATCTTACATGTAATCAATGTGAGAGACATTTTGTTGCTGATTCGCTCCATTAACACCTAATGGAGAAAAATTACACAGGCGACTTCGTACCAAATTTTGAATTCTTGAATCCTGGTGGAAAAAATAACAATGAGCAGGAGGAAGTGAACCTGCCGCCTCCCATATCTGTTCATCATGCTTCCAACCAGAATCAACTCCATGATACATCTCATTGTGATTCTCCGATATACCAATCCCTGATCTTGGCACTTCCGTGTTCTTGACAGAACTAAAGTACTCTTCATACATCTCATTGAACGCAGGTGTAGGAACGCAGGTGTAGGAACTAAAGTACCTTAACATCCCTTTCACATTTATATCACTACAAATATCTATCGATTACACAATTTATTCAACATACAATTTAACAAAAATCCAACAATAAGTCATTCTTTATTTCTGATAAATCAAGTGGTATTTGATAAAATCATTCTACCTATCATCCACCATTTTTTATCATAACAAATCACAACAATAACAGCCCATAAAACCAAACATAAACTCTATTTTCACCATAAGCCAAACTTGTCAAAACAAATCACCATTAATTCATACAACCTGTCAAAAACCATAATACAATATCATAACACATAAATATAATCCAAGTTTCTATATGCAAAAGAAAGGATATTGAAGTAGAAACCAAAAGCTTGTTCGCCAGAATGATACCTCGAGACCGACACATACAGATTCGAATCCACGCCATACATAATGTCACCACCGACCAGCCACCGTGCATAACTGGTCACTGTCACCAACCACAATGGTGCCCTTGTTGGGTCATAGCCACATCTCCGCAAACATAGAGACCCTCTCTGCATCAGCCACCTCCGTATGACCCACACAACCACAACGCACACTGTCTCTCTCCACATAGCATACACAGCCGATGTGAGGTCCCTCTGCTGCTCAACAATCCGCCATCATCCTCTCAACTACCACCGGCCGCCGCTATTGCTTCGGCCATAAACTCCGATCGTCACACACACCAAAGCCGCCGGCCAAATTATCCATCGACATAAGTTGGAATCGTGTTGGTAAACCTCATGTGTTCTGTCTTTTTTTGTTGTTGCGGGATTGTCATGAACTGAAGAGGAAATTGGAGTTTTTTAGTTCCAGTTTTGAGAAATGTAGAAGAAAGAAAGAGGAATCATAGAGAGAGGAAGTAATGCTAAGAGGTTAGCCTTTCACATTTTATTGCATATTTAATCTAATAATCAAATCAAACCCTAAAACAACAAATTAGAAAACCTAAAAAATCATAAAAAGAATTTTTAAAGGTTTTGGGTGCGACGGTTGTTTTACCGTCGTGAAATAAATTTTAGGACGGATAATTTTACCGTCGTGAAAGGTTTAAGGGTGCGACGGGTGCTTTACCGTCGTGATATGCCTTTTAGGACGGTTAATTTTACCGTCGTGACTAGTTGTTGGTGAAAAATCAATGTTAAAAGTGTTAAATGGGGGCCGACGGTTGTTTTACCGTCGTAATAATAATATTATGATGGTTAAATATACCGTCGCAAAATAAATATTAGGGACGGTTGGTGTCAACCGTCGTAAAAACTGTCTCTATATGTCAATTACGACAGTTATCACATAACTGTCGCAATTTTTGTGTCGTTAAACACTAATTTTCTTGTAGTGACTCAACACTAACATGCATTTTTATTCCTTGTTTTCTGCAAAATTCATCATACTCCTCTGAAACTATCTCAAGGCATTCAAATCGCCTTGACCTCAAATTCCATAACTCTTCCTTATCATAAAAACCTCTACTAGTTAATGATGAATGAATAAAAATATTTGAACCTTTTAAAATACATATACCACATATTTTACACCCCTTAATAATAATCAATTAATCACGTGAAATCTTTAACACTCCATGTTCAACTCTAGTGTAATAGCCTAGATAATCAAACATACTTATAAATAACAATTTTCGCTTGAATTCTGGAACATACCTCACATTGTGAATAAGAATTTCACGATCATTAAACATTTTAAGTTTGACCGTACCAATAATATGAACTTTGTAACATCCCGGATTCTAGATTAATTATTTAATTAATTAATTTAGTGTGATTACATGAGTAAATGTAAAGTGTTTGATGTGTTGATGATTATATGTGAGCCTTTATGGTAATTTGTGAGATTATGATGAATCTGAAGTGTACCATGATGATTGAGGTAAACATGATGTTTGAATGTGATGATTTGATGAATATGATGTGTGATGGGTTACTATGAGTATTATAGTAGGAATTAGATTAATTAAGAGGATTATTAGCATTTTGGAATAATTAGATAATTCTTTAGAATTATTTTAATTGGGAATAATAGAAGTGTAGAAAAAGTAAGGGTAAGATGGTAATTAATGGAGAATAAGTAAGAACAAGGTGGGAAGTTTGATATTAGAGGTCTAAGGGTTATACAAGGAATTAGGGGAAAATAAATTCATTGTGGAGCGATCGTAGAATTGGGAGAAAGAAAATGACAATGTGGAGAAAGGAAGCTAGGGCACAAAGAGGCAAGAGATTTCGGTAGAGAACCAAAGATAAGTTGAATTTCTACTATCTTAAGGTAAGGGAAATTTTATCATTGTTATTATATTTGATTTAAGGTTTATATGATTGGTAGATTGTCTTAGGTTTTAGTAGATGGTGATTTGGTGTTGTTTGATGAGAAATTGATGAATTGGTGATGAATGATGGTTTATAATTGATGTATATTGAGTATAGAATTATAGGTTGTTGATAGATGATGAAACCCTATGATTAGATGGTGTTTAGGACCTGTAGTATGACAAAATTGCAAGAGAATTTGACTGGTTTATACAGGAAATTGCAACAGGAAAATCATGTTTACACAAGATCGTCGGGCGATGGGAGATGTGTCTCCGGGCATCAGAGCTTCTCCAGGCGATGGTGGGAGCGAAGGGAGGTAGATTGGAGCTGGTTTCTGTAATGCGTCGCCCCTAGTTTCGCCGGCCAAAGTGTGATGCGAAGGTAGTATCGGCAGGCGACAAAAGTGTGTCGCTAGGCGACAGAAAGCAGAATTAGTTGTCCAAGTTGGAAATCTTAAAATGATCATAACTTTAGTTTTAGAGCTCGGATTGAGGTGTTGTTCGAAGCGTTGGATAGCTAACACAATGAAATTTAATTAAATGGAGAAATATGAGAATTAAGGAATATATCTCTGAGACCTAAGTTATAATATAATTAGATTCCCCGTGTTGAATCCCAATGATGTTTTGTTTATGATGATGTATTGTTTATGATGATGTTTTGTTTATGATGATGTTTTATTTATAATGATGTTTTGTTTATAATGATGTTTTGTTTATGATAATGTTTTTTATGATGATTCCTTGTTTATGATGATGATTTTATGGTGTTGTGTTGATTTTTATGATGATGTTATAATGTTATGTTGATTACTATGATGATGTTATGGTGTTGAGTTGATTACTTTTTATGATACGATGATGATTATGTTGAATCATGAATGGTGATACGTGTTGACTAGTCGTGGTCGTATTAAATATGTTATTGTGCATCATTGCATTCCTGGAATATTTTAGGACTTCGGTCCAGTGAAGTTAGTACTTCGGTCCAGTGAAGTTAGGACTTCGGTCCAGTGAAGATGATATGACGATTGTCCAGTGAAGGAAACAATCTCATTATGTGGATTGGGTGCAACATAGAAGTGCTCTGGTTCTAACAGGAATCAATCTTATGGTGGGATCATTGGAGATAACGATGACTAAGTCATCAGTGAAGTTTTGGTACCACATGCATGAGTCTATGACGTTGCATTACATCCTATGTGACATTACATAATGATTTATTTATGATGTTTGATGACATATTTTGTATGATGATATGTGTACGTGTATTGATGAAGTTGTGGAGGTGTGCGTATAACATGAAGATATGATGATGTGTGATTCCTTGCTTATGTGCATATTTACTATGTCTATTCCTTATGTCTTATATAATTATTACGATTTACTCACCCTTTCTGCTTGAATGTTTCCTCCACGTGGGTAACGCACAGGTGATCGAGAATAGTCTGTAGAAGCATTAGAGGATAGCTACGGGGTGTGTTTATTTGCTTTTGTTGAATAAAGGGAGCCTTGATCTGATACGTAACATCGGGGTTATGATTGACTGATTTGGAACTTTTGTTCTTTGTTTTGTTTTAAGATGTTGAGTCACCCTACGTGGTACTCAATATGTTTTGATTTATACGTATGAGTTATGAAATACAACTAAATTTTATGAAGTATTATAATGAGGTGTTTTGAAATATGATTTCTTCTTCCATGATTTGAAGAATCAAATGTTGATTTTATCTTGTTAAGTATTTTGAAAACCCGTATTACGGAGCATGATGTATCGTTATGAATATTTATATGGAAATGTGATACCCTTATTGGTGATATACTCTGATTTATTTATTAAAATAATTGTGAATATTCTTTGGGGTTTAGAAGGGTGTTACATTAGTGGTATCAAAGCAGGACGATCTATCCGGCCAGGTTGTCTAACGTTTTATGTTCCTTGGTATGATATGGTGGCAGAACTGACTTGAAGGTTTTGCATTTTATCGCAAATGTTGTGGTTAGAAAGAGTCGCAACCGACTTTTCTTTTATCCAAAAGGAAAGGTGAAAAAGCATAGGAATGACCTTTGAGATTATTTCTTGAGTTCGGGGGGTAGATTATGAAAAGGGAAGGTATTAGCACCCTTTTCATCCATGGTTTTCCATGGGCTCTTAGTTACTTGCTATATCACTTGCTTTTGTTTAAAATTATGCTTTGTGTTGTTTCTTGAAAGTATTTTATAAAGAGGCCATTGTTTAGGCAAACTTCATAATGATTCTCGTTCGTAAGAATGTATACAAAGTGTTTGATCTTTTGAAAATGTTTTCAAGTTTGAAAGATGTTTTTAGAAAGTGTATATGTTTATTTTGAAAATAGCAAGGATGTTTTGTTTAGAAATGGAGCAAGTAATTAGGAGCATTCTACCTACTCAAAAGTCTTTCATGTTCATTTTTGTTTTCCTTTGACATTGTTATCTTATCATTGATATGATAAGTAACCCTATCTTTGGATGTAAACGGGACGGGCGTGAGTCATCGTATAACCATGATTAGCAATGTTGTAAGGTATCTTAGCATTCTCTTTAGGAACTAAGATCATTTGAAAGGCAACATAGATAGCGTCATCGAGGGACTATGATCTTATATTTTGCTTGTTTTTGCTAAGATACCTCACATGTATAATATGGCCATTTTGTAAGGCAACCAAGTGGATTTTACCCTAGGGGTGCTTGTGTGCAAGTGTAATGTTTTCATGCTTGGTTTTGTCTTTGATTAGGGTTTTCTAAGCATTGGTTTTAGTCTTTCCATACAAACCTTAATTACTAGCATTTGTATATAAAAGCGATAAATTGCGGAATTTAAAATTACTACGCTATTACAATACTTGTGGGAGGGGGGTGTATAAATTATAAATGGGGATTGCAAGAAAATAAACCTAATCATCTATTACAACCATATTGAATTTGTACAAGAATTGAATAAATAATGTACAAAATGGATAAATGTACAAGAATGTAAATGTAAAGAAAATGGATGTTTGTTTGGATTTTTTAGAAAGAAATGGGTTTTGTTTTAACCTAATTAACTAAAGAAAGATAATTAATTAAATTAGTAAAAAGTAAAACCTAAATTTACTAGGAAAAGAATTTATATAAAACTGTAATCTATTAATTGGTTAAAAAAAGAAAATTAAGTTTATAAGAAGAATATTTTTGGTATTTTTGTCTTAAAAATAATTTATAGTATTATAAAATATTTTTGGTCTTTTT